ATGTCCTCCATGTGACATCACATCCGTGCTGTGACATCACCACTCCCCTATGACGTCACATCCATCATATGACACCACATCTCTCCTGTGATATCACATCCTCCCCGTGACATCACAATATCCCCTGTGACATCACATCCTCCCTGTGACATCACATCTCCTCTATGACATCACATCCATCATATGGCATCACAGCTCTCATGTGATATCATATAATCCCTGTGATGTCACATCCTCCCCTGTGACATCACATCGTCCCTGTAACATCACAGCTCCCCTATCACATCACATCCTTCCTGTGCAAATACATCCCCCCCATGACATCACAGCTCCCCTGTGACATCACAGCTCCCCTGTGACATCACAACTAACCTGTGACATCACATCCACCCTGTGACATCACATGTCTCCTGTGACTTCACATCCTCCCCGTAACATCACAGCTCCCCATGGCATCGCAGCTCCCCCATGACATCACATCCTTACCTGTGACATCACATCTCTCCTATGACATCACATCCATCATATGACATCACATCTCTCCTGTGATATCACATCCTCCCCGTGACATCACAATATCCCCTGTGACATCACATCCTTGTTGTGACATCAAGGCTCATCTATGACGTCACATCCATCATATGACATCACATCCTTCCTGTGACATCACATCCCCCATGACATTACATCTCCCCTATGACATCAGATTCTCCCTGTGACATCACAGCTGCCCTATGACAACACACCTTCACATCACATCACAGCCCCCTGTGACACCACAGCTGACATCTGTCCATCATATGACATCACATCTATCCTGTGACATCACATCTCTTCTACGACATCACATCCATCATATGACATCACAACTTTCCTGTGATATCATATCATTCTTCTGACATTACGTCCTCCCCTGTGACATCACACCTCCCCTATGACATCACACATCCCCTGTGACATCACACCTCCCCTATGACATCACACCTCCCGTGTGACATCACAGCTGACGTCACATCTCTCCTGTGATATCATATCATCCCTGTGACATCAAATCCTCCCCGTGACATCCCAGCTTCCTTAGGACATCACATCCCCCATGACATCCCATCCTTCCTGTGACATCACATCTCACCTATGATGTGACATTCATCATATGACATCACATCTCATAGTGACATCACACCTCCCCATGACATCACAGCCTCCTGTGACATCACAGCTGACATCACAACCATCATTTGACATCACATCCTTCACAAGACATCACATCTCCCCTGTCAGGTCATAGTCATCAATTGACATCACACCTCTCCTGTGATACCACATCCTTCCTGTGACATCACATCTCTCTTATGAAGTCGCATCCATCATATGACATCACATCTCTCCTGTGATATCATAGCATCCCTCTGACATCACACCTGCCCCATGACATCAGATACTTCCTGTAATATCACAGCTCCCCTATGACATCACATGCATCATATGACAACATCTCTCCTGTGATATCATATCATCCCTGTGACATCACAGCTCCCCTGTGACATCACACATCTCCTGTGACATCACATCTTTGCTGTGACATCACATCTCCCCTATGACAACGCATCCATGACATGACAACACATCCTCCCCGTGACATCACACCTCCCCATGACATCACAGCTCCCCTGTGACATTACCTGCTCCCCTGTGACATCACACCTCTCCTATGACATCACATCCTCCCTGTGTCATCACATCCTTCCTATGACATCACATTTCCCCTATGACATCACATTCATCATATGACATCACATCTCCATTGTGATATCACATCTTTGTTGTGACATCAAGGCTCCTCTATGATGTCACATCCATCATATGACATGGGATCCTTCCTGTGACATCACATTTCCCCTATGACATCACACCTTCCCATGATGTCATATCTCCCCTATGACATCAGATCTCTCCTGTGATGTCACAACCATCATATGACATCACACCTCTCCAATATCATATCATCCCTATGATGTCACGTCCTCCTCTGTGACATCACATCCTCCCCATTACATCACAAACCCTCCATATGTCATCACATGCTTCCTGTGACATCACAGCTCCCCCACGACGTCACATCCATCATATGACATTACATCTCCCTTGTGACATCACGTCCACCCCATGACATTACAATACCCCCTGTGACAACACATCCTTCCTGTGGCATCACATCTCCTCTATGATGTCACATCCATCATATGACATCATAGCTCTCCTGTAATTTCATATAATCCCTGTGACGTCGTGTCCTCCCCTGTGAAATCGCATCATCCCTGTGACATACATCCTTGTTCTGACATCACATCTTCCTTGTGATATCACATCCTTGTTGGGACATCAAAGCTCCTCTATGATGTCCCATCTATCATATGACATCACATCTCCCCTATGACATCACATCCAGTCACATCCAGATCCATCCCAAGGTTGGATGTGTGTGTGAGACAGGTAGAACCACAAATGCCTGCACAGCCCAGAGCAGTCAGTGTGGGGCTGTGCTTGCTGCTGCAGAGACCCCCAGGGAACAAACCCAGGCAGTAGTTTGGGGGCTGTGTGGGTGTGTCCCTAAGGAGGACACTTGCCTTATTATTGCTTATTATTTGTAATATCTTATAGATCTCTCATACAACACCTAAGGATGGATTCTATAGAATATGTGCCATAGACATTTGGGTTGGGTCTGGCTGAGCTGCAGTTCAGTTCCCCACAGCAGCCCTCCCAGGGCTGGGCTTGGCATTGGCAGCTGGAAGGGGGTTGAGAACACCCCAGTGTTTTGGCCACTGCTGAGCACAGCACCAACACTGGGACATTCCTTCCTTAGCTGAGGGCAAGAGCCTGGCAGGGGACCCAAGCAGGCCAGTTGAGCCCAACTGAGCCAAGGGACATTGCAGCCCATGGGAGGTCAGCTCAGCTCTAAAAGCTGAGGCAGGGAGCAGGAGGGGGGCATTCATTGTCTGATGGCTGCCTGCTGAGGAACCGTCCCGCGGACCCAAGCCCTGCTCCTCGGGAGTGGCCGACCATGGCTGCTCATGGGAAGCAGAGAACAAACCCTGCTGTCTTTTGCTTTAAATAAACTGCCTTATCTCAACCCACCAGTTGTTTTTTTTTCCACCTTACTCTCTCCCCTGTCCTGCTGGAAAGTGGAGTGATAGAGCGGCTGGGAGGGCACCTGGTGTCCAGCCAAAGTCAACCCACCACACACCTGAACACTTGCAGAGACTCCACCACCTCCCTGGGCTACTTGTTCCAATGCCTGAACACTCTCAGTGGAAAAAGGGTTCTTCAATATCTAGTATGAACCTTGCCCAACGCAATTTAAGGCAATTCCCTCAAGCCCAGTTCCCTCAGCCATCCCTCAGCAGACATGTTTTCCAGAGCCTTCCCCAGCTCCGTTCCCTTCTCTGGACACGCTCCAGCCCCTCAAGGGCCTTTTGGCACTGAGGGGCCAGAACTGGACACAGCACTCCAGGTGGGGCCTCCCCAGTGCCCAGCACAGAGGGGCAATCAGTTCTCTGCTCCTGCTGGCCACACTCTTCTCCACAAAGGCCACCATGCCCTTGGCCTTCTTGCCCCCCTGGGCACACTCTGCCTCATATCCAGCCCCTGTCAAGCAGCACCCCCAAGTCCCTTCCTGCTGAGCAGCTCTCCAGCCCCTCTGCTCCCAGCCTGGAGCATTCCAGGGGCTTGTTGGGACCCAAGGGCAGGCCCTGACACTTGGCCTTCTTGATCCAGCCTGTCCAGATCCCTCTGCAGAGCCTTCCTGCCCTCCAGCACATCCACACTCACACCCAGCTGGGTGTTGTCCACGACTTTACTGAGGGGACTGGAAGGCCACAATTAGGTCACCCCAAAGCCTTCCCTTCTCCAACCACAACAATCCCAGTTCTCTCAGCTTTTCCTCACAGAAAGGTTTCAATAGACCTCAAGTGGCTGAAGCCCTGGGTTTGGCCATCAGGCCTTGTCTTTCACTGCTGTGCTCTTTTAATAGAGCAACAGAGAATTGCAACAAAAAACTGAAAAGAAAAACTTTGCAAATTTTTTTTCAGAACCTTCGGTCGAGGTTGGGAATGGTTTGTCTCCCTTGGCAGGGAGGGTCAGTACTCTTTGTCATTCTGACAGGACTGCCCAGGTCCCTGATTTTATCGTGGCCAAAATACTGGGCTTGGAAACCAAAGCAGGAGCTGGTAGAGAACAGCAGCTTGAAAAATGGGCTGATGCCTAATTGATGTGGCAGAAGGAATGAAAGACTCGGGACAGCTAAGAAAAAAATTGGGCTTTTCAGTGCCTACCTCAGGTTGGGATGACTGCCTGTGTCTTAGTGGAGGAAGATGTTTTTGTAACTTTATTGAAACTTGTTAGTAAAATGTGCCTGAATTCCTAAGGAAACAACCACTGTGAAATCTTTAAAAACCAAATGTAGATTTCCAAAGTGTAGAAGTTGCTATTAATATTTTGGCCATTTCTGTGGTATCTTTTTGTTGTGTGAATGACTTTGAGAACAAGAATGTGTTCTTAATTATAACACATTACTGCTAATTATTTTACAAGGTTGAGAGAAGAGTTTAAGATGAAAGTTGTGGGGTTACTTGCAAAGCTTTTGGTAAAACCAATGCAGTTGAACCTGGTGGGGAAATTTGCCCTTAAATTGGTTTTGGCAGATCTCATGAGTGTCTAAGGCAGAGGCCAACCCAGTTGGAAAGAGCCTTTCAAGGGTGACAAAGATGTAACTAAATTACCTTTTCGGGAGGTGGGGAAAGCTGATGTCAGGAATTAAATTTCCTTATGTTAAGCTTAGTAAAAATATAATAATATATAAATATTAAAATTATTTTAATGGTCTTATTTATGGGGTTTTCACTGTTCTCATGTTAGTACTTCTGAGTGTTTGATTGTGACAATAATGGACAGCTTTGTGGTGGGTTTTTTTTTTTATTTTTCATGTTTTGATACTTTGGTCAAGACATTAACATTAAAAATCATTCAAAATTTTAATTCATCTTCAAACACCAAAATAGATTTGAAATGAGGTCAATGAGAACAGTGGGGGGAAAACAAAAACAAGCCCAAAACCAAAACAACCCCAAAAACTGTTTATTTTTCCATTGTATTTTAAACAAGGAAGTCTGTAGAGCAGCAGAAAACAGGACACGTGGGCAGGTGTGAAAGTCAGACTGGGGCTTGTTGCACTGGTTCCAGTGCTCTTTGCTTCAGTGTAACTGGTCATTTTGAGATGAGACTGGGGAAACTGGGCTGCCAGGGCAGAGACCACTGGCTGGCCCCACTGGTTTTTGCTGGGCAGTGGGTAATTTGTGCCTCACTTGTCAGAATCAGCCCACGGTTATCAGGGAATGGGGTAGTGGTGAATTTGGCTTTCAGACTAAAATGAGGTTAAACTTACACATATTCAAAAGAATAAACTGATGTTGGAGTGCAGATACTCAAAATCCTGAAGACCTTTTGAAACCTTTTCTGTGTGTCAGTCCTACGGCCGAAGCTCTTCCCGCAGTCGGGGCACTCACAGGGCTTCCCTTACTGGTGGGTCCGTTGGTGTTTGGTCAACTTAGAGCTCTGAGTGAAGCTCTTCCCACATTCCAAGCATTTGTAAGGCCGTTCCCCAGTGTGGAGGCGCTGGTGACTGATTAGGGCAGAGCTGTGGGCAAAGCTCTTCCCACACTCCCCACACTTGTAGGGTCTCTCCCCAGAGTGGATGCGCTGGTGGGTGATGAGGGTGGAGTTGCGGTTGAAGCCCTTCCCGCAGTCGGTGCAGCGGAAGGGCCTCTCATCCGTGTGCGTCCGCTCATGCAGGAGGAGATGTGAGCTGGTGTGAAACCTCTTCCCACATTCCAAGCACTTGTAGGGCTGTTCTCCAGTGTGGACGCGCTGGTGGGTGTGGAGGTGGGAGTTCTGGCTGAAGCTCTTCCCACATTCCCCACACATGTAGGGCCGTTCCCCAGTGTGGATGTGCTGGTGTTTGCGGAGGCTGGAGTTGTCACTGAAGCTCTTCCCACATTCTGAACACTTGTAGGGCTGTTCCCCAGTGTGGATGCGCTGGTGGGTGAGGAGGTTGGACCTGTCACTGAAGCTCTTCCCACATTCCCCACACGTGTAGGGCCGTTCCCCAGTGTGGATGTGCTTGTGCCGGATCAGGTGGAAGCTCTGCCTGAAGCTCTTCCCACATTCCCCACACCTGTAGGGCTGTTCTCCAGTGTGGATGCGCTGGTGGCTGAGGAGGCTGGATCTGTCCCTGAAGCTCTTTCCACATTCCCCACACCTGTAGGGCCGTTCCCCGGTGTGAATGTGCTGGTGCCGGATCAGGTGGGCACTCTTCTTGAAGCTCGTCCCACATTCCAAGCATCTGAAGGGCTTCTCCCTGCTGGGAGGCTGCTCAGGGACCACCAGCTCAGAGCTCCCCCTCAAGCTCCGGCCGCCTTCCCGGCACAGGCTGGCTCTTTCCTCCTCAGAGCACCCTGGGATGGCTTTGGAGCCCCTCCTGCGGGGGGATCTCCGGCCCTTTTCCTCCCCGCTGCCTTCCTGCGCCGGGGAGCCCTTCAAAACGGCCTCTCCCACCAGGGTCTCACGGGGGGATTTGTCCTCCGGGCTCTCCGTCCTCACCTCGGGGCCTGGGGCAGGAAGCAAGAAGGACAGGCAGGGGATTTGCCTCCGGCCCACAGGGAAGGCCAAGGACATCCCCCCAACTCCGGCCCCGGCAGGACGGCGGCGCCAGCGGGGTTGTCCTGCAGCCGGGGCCATGCTCGGCTGACAGAGCCAGCACAACACCCGCCCAAAGGGACACTGACTTCCTCCTCACCTGCCTGGGGGGACCAAGGCATCTTCCTCTTCCTCGCAGCCTCCTCCTCCATCCGACCAAGCTTTGGGAAGGACAAATCCTGATGGGGGGAAAACAAGGGCTGAGCGCGTTGGCTTGGGGGTTCCTCCTGCCCAAGTCCATCTCTAGAACTCACCGGGCATCCTGTGACCATAAAAACCTCCAAAACACCAAGATTCAGCCCAGAAAAACCTAAACCTCCAAGATTCAGGCAAAAAACCCCTCAGAAATATTGAGATGAAGTTCCTCCCCCATAAACTGCAAAAAGTTGAGATTCAGCTAAAATATACTACAAAATATGAAGATTAGCCCGCAAAACTCTCCTAGAAGTTCCCCCTCTCTCTCTCTCTCTGGGTTTCAAAGGGTCTCCCCTCTCTACAATACTGGGGGTCCCACTTAGGGATGCTTGGAGTGTTGAGGGTGCCAAGAGTACCTCCTCCTCTGCCTTACGCCTTTGGGGTGCCACGTTCCCAGACATTCCCCCTTTCCAGGTTCTCCACTTTGTTGTCCCACGGATCCCAGAGGTCCCCACTGTCCAGGATTCCCCTTCTCAGTGCTCCCCTCTCCAGTCTCTCGGGGCTCTAGCAGCTCCCACCTCTCTCCAGCCTCCCTTGCACTCCAGAGATCAAGGCATGGGGACACCCCAATGGCAACCCCGCTCCCGCTCTCTTCCCTCCCCTTAGCCCTCCTTTCACACCCCTTTCCCACTGGCCCCCCAAACCCCGGCTCCCCCCAGCTCCCTTTGGGGGTGACCCACCGCCCCTCACGCTCCCTTTGGGGGTCCCACCCGCTCTTTTCACTTCTCTCGCCCCTTTCCCATCGTGGCCGCTCCGCTCACCCGACAGCGGCAGGAAGGGCAGGGACAGGGGCGGAGCAGCAACAGCAACAGCAGGAGAACAATCATCCCCCCATCCCATGGATCCCCGGGAAGTGGAACTCATCCCAAATATCCCGGGGGGAGCACGGGGGATCGTGACATACTGGGGTTACCAGCACAGATTTCCCTGCACAGTCTGCAGAGAGTCAAGCTTTGGACAGGAGATTGTGCCCCATGCATGGGATTGCAGAGGCTCCCTCAGGTCCCCAGCAGGAATCAGTAACCAGGAATAGACAGAAAAGGCCCCCACAAAGATTTTGGGGGAGTGTCCTGTAGGGAGGGGACAGTGTCACCCCACCAGGGCAGGGCTGGCAAGTGGGAGGCTGCTCCAGGGGTCTGCAAGAGGCCTCGTGCTCTGCTCGGCCCCAGCACTGCCTGGTACCAACACCCCCGGCTGCCCCCGGCCCTGGGCAGCTCTGCTGCCACAGGCTGTGCCCTCACCGTGGCCCTGCAATGGCCCTGCCTGTCCCTCACCCGGGGCCCTGCCCGTGGCCCTGTCCCTTGGCTCTCTCTGCCAGCTCAGTGTGGGGCACACGGGCTGGGGGTCCCTCCCAAGCCCCCCGGGCAGCCGGCGTTGGCTGGGGGGATGTGAGGGCTGGGCCTGCTCAGCACAGCCCCGGCCTCGTGCCCAGCGCCTCTTTCCTGACCCACACAAGACCTTCCCGGCCCCCCAGGGCTCCCCTGCTGCTGCCTCTGCTCCTGGCCCTGCCTTTGCTGCTCCCTTGGCTGGGGCAGCGGCTGCAGGGGGGGATTGCAGCAGCTTCAGCTCCACGGCACTTCCTGGGGGGAGCTCAGCCCGGGGGGACGGGCAGGGACCTGATGGGGATGGACAGGGGCCCAGCAGGGACAGACAGGGCCTGCAGGGGAAGGCACAGGGACAAACTGGCCCCCCACACTGCCACCGCTGTCTCTGCTCCTCCTTGCAGGCTCCGTGGCCAGGCACAGTTGGTGTTCCTGGGTGCCCACCATCTCAGCACTTGGAGACGCTCAAATCAGCGCCCGCAGCTCTGCAGCAAAGCCCCAGCTCACCTGGCACACAGGGGATGGACACAGCACCTGCTCGGGGATGGGCATTCACAGCTTTGTCTTCTTCCCCACCACAGGGCTCTCCTTGTTCAGCAGCACCTCTGCCTTGCACTTATTCTCAGCCTCACCTCAGGGACAGCTCTGGGCTCACCTCCGCGCCACTTCTCAGCCTCACCTCAGGGCCTGGGCTCAAGGACAGGAACCTGCAGGGAGGGGACATCAGGTGCAAGCTCAGGGCTGCCTGCTTGCACTGGCCTCTGGGCTTCTTTCTCCTTCTACAACCAGCCCAGAACTCAGCCTGCTTTCCTAACACCACACATTTACAGACTAACCTTGGAGATAGATATGGACAGACATCTCTATCACCCTGGGGATAGAGCCTCAAGCATGTGCTGCCATAGGAATGGGAATCACAGAATCACAGAATCAGCCACATTGGAAAAGACCTCTGAGATCATCAAGTCCAACCCTTGATCCAACCCCACCGTGCTTCCCAGACCATGGCACTGATGCCACATCCACTCTCACCTTCAACACCTCCAGGGACGCTGACTCCACCCCCTCCCTGCCCACCCCATTCCAAGGCCTCATTACTCCCTTAGGAAAAATTTGCTTCCCAATATCCAACCTAAACCTCCCCTGGCACAGCTCAAGACCCAGCCCTCTTGTCCTACTGCTGCTTCCTGGCACAACAGCCCCACCCCCACCTGGCTCCAACCTCCTGGCAGGGACTTGCAGACAGTCAGGAGGTCTCCCCTGAGCCTCCTCTTCTCCAGCCTCAACACCCCCAGCTCCCTCAGCCTCTCCTCACACCACTTGTGCTCCACTCCCTTCCCCAGCCTCGCTGCTCTTCTCTGCACCTGCTCCAGGCCTGGATCCATTGGCCCTCTTGGCCACCTGGCCACACTCTGCCTCCTCTTCAGCTTCCTGTCCATCCCCACTCCCAGCTCCCTTTCTGCCTGCCTGCTCTCCAGACACTCTGGCCCCAGCCCGGGGGGCTGACGGGGCTTCTTGTGGCCAAAGGGCAGGACCCGGCCCTTGGCCTGCTGGAACCTCATCCCCTTGCAATCAGCCCATGGATCCAGCTGGGCCAGGTCCCTCTGCAGAGCCCTCCTGCCTTCCAGCACATCAACACACCCCCAGCTTGGGGTCACCTGCACATTTGCTGATGAAATGCCTGGTTCTGCAGCAGCTGGAGATGCTCAAGGGGCAGCAGGACCAAATCAGGGGCATGGGGGGGCCTGGGGGGCTTTGGGGTGTGGGAGGGTCCCGTGGAGGGGCTTTGGGGATTGGGGGCAGAAACCAGTACAGACCAGGACAGACCAGTGCCTCCTCACTGCTCCCCAGATCTCTCCTGGAGCTGGGCCACGTTGTCCTGGGACACCTGAGCCCCCCCCCAGTGCCCTCCCAGTACAGCCCAGTGCCCCCAGTACAGCCACTGTGTTCCTGTCCCAGGGTGCTGGGTGATCCCTCTTTGGGGGTGTTAGGAGGGATTTGGGGGGGGGCTGGGGGATATTTGGGGGGATCTGGGGGCATTGGATGGGAATTTTGGGGGTTTTGGGGTGCTCTGGGTGCATTTAGGGGAGTTAAAAGGGGTCTGGGGGGGATCAAAGTGATCTGTGGGGGGAGGGGATTAAAGGGAAAATGGAGGCTAAGGGACATTTGGGAGAGTTAAAGGGGCCTGAGGGGGAAGAAGAGGAGCTCCACCATGAACAGCTGAGTCCTAAGACCCCCCTGGTTTCCTCAAGACTTTCTTGGTGTCCCCAATTTTCCCCTTAACACCCTGAGACCCCCCTGGTATTTCCAATGTTCCCAGCTCCTCCCCAGGGCCCCAATTTAACCCCCCGACACCCCCAATTCCACTGTCCACAAACCCCTCCCCACTGTCCCCAAACCCCAACCCTGATGTCCCCAACCTTCCATCTCACCCCAGGAGCCCCCCCTGGACCCTCTGACCACAAAAGCACCCCCTCCCCACGCTCACAGAAAGGCCAAGGGCATCTGGGGACATGTTGGGGACAGTCGGGGGTCTTTGGGGGGCACTGGGGGATTACTGGGGGATACTGGGACACACTGGGGGGAAACAGGGGGCACTGGGAGGGACTGGGGGGTTACTGAGGGACACTGGGAGGGCTCTGGGAGGGACCAGAGGTGAACTGGGGCACACTGGGGGACACTGGCAGAGAACTGTGGAGTTACTGGGGGATTACCAAGACACAAGGAGGGGACACTGGGAGGTTACCGGGCCATACTGGGGGTAACTGGGAGCTCCCCGGGATACATTGGGTGGTCACTAAGGGGTTACCGGGCCATACTAGGGATTACTGGCTGCTCACTTGGATACACTGGATGGTCACTGGGCTATACTGAGGATCACTGGGAGGTTATTGGGATATACTGGGGGCACTGGGATCCCCTTACCCAGATGTAGTATATGTCCCCCCCTGGATTTTTGGGGGCATGCCTAGGACCCCTCCCCTGGGGGCTGGGGGACCCCCCCAAACCCACTGCTGGGCTTTAGAGGACTCCACAAAATCCCCTCAAAACCCCCAAAATCCCCTCAGAAATCCACTCCAGGACCCATCGAAACCTCCTCAAGGACCCCCCAACTCGCTGAGGACACCTTATCCCCCCCCGGACCCCCTAAACCCTTTAGTGACCCGCAAAAGCCACCTGGGATTCCCCAAGCCC